GCCACATGAAACTGGGGGTGGAGTGATACAAGCACCCTTGTGGCCACCATCACTGTGACTGCACTGGGTCAGACTTGAAGCCAGCATAGCACTGGGTCTTGCTCGAGGCCTCCTGTAACCACTCCCTGGCTACTGCCTGTGTTCGCTCAAGGCCCTGGGGCTCTGTAATCAGCAGGTGGCAAAGCCATTCAGGTCTGTATTTTTCCCTTTAATGTGGAGAGATCCCCCAGGCCCTGTGCAGGTCCAGAGGTGCCATCTGTCTGAGAGCCAGGGACTAGAGTACAAAACCTAAGAAGTCTGCCTGGTGTTCTATTGTGCTGTAGCTGAGCTGGCACTCGAACCACAAGACATAGTCCTTTTCACTCTTCCTTCCCCTTTCCAAAGGCAGAGGAGCCTCACCCTATGGCCACTGCCACCTCAGGCCCGCACTGAGTAATGCCAGATTACTGCCGATGTTCCCTTAAGTCCTGAGGGCTCTTCGGTCAGCTTGTGGTGCATGCTGCCTGGCTTGGGACTCACCCTTCAGGGCAGTGGGCTACCCTTTGGCCCAGGACAGGTCCAGAAATGCCATCCAAGAGCCAAGTCCTGGGATCAGGGACCCCAAGAGTGCTGTTGGTGCTCTACCCTTGTGGCTGAGCTGGTAACTAAAGTCAGCAGGTCTCAGAGTCTCACCCAAGGCCCTTGATGTAGCATCTGGGTATCACTGGTGTTTATTCAGGGCCCAAGGGCTCTTCAGTGAGCAGGTGATGAATGCTGCCAGGACTGGGTCCTTTCCTTCAAGGCAGTGGTTTCCCTTCTGGCCCAGGGTATGTCTAGAAATGCCCAGGAGCTAGGGTCTGGAAAGGCAGGATCATAACTCTGACCCATGCCCTGTTCTGTAGCTGAGTTGGCATCTAAGATGTAAGACAAAGTCCTCCCCACTATTCCCTCTCCTCACCTCAGGCAAAAGGAAGGGATCTCTTCTGGAGCCATAAGCTGTGTATCTTGGGGTTAGGAGAGGGGTGATGCCAAGTACTGCCTTAGCCACCCCACCTGGTGTCTCAGTATGTCTCCTGCTCCCCCAGTCCACTGTCTCTGGGTCCAATTCAGTACTAGGAGTCTCCTAGGAGTTGTAGCCCTTGTGGCCTAGACTGCCTTTCAAGTTTATTTAAAGCCCCAGAGCACTTTAGCCCATGGTGGCAAGGCTTGTGGGAACTAGAGTTCTGACCCCTGGGATCGGTGATTCCCCTCTGGCTAGGGCTGGTTTAAATCCTTCCTCTGTGGTCAGGTGTCAACTTAGTTTGATCTGGTTTTCCTTTCTGCTATAACAAAGGCAGCACTTAGTCAATGCCTCACAATTACTGGGTTCTCCCTTCCCCAGAGCCCAGAGATACTCTGGGCACCATGGACCCCTGCTGGGGGTGAGGGAGGGGTGGCGTGGGTGATTCAAGACTGTTTTTTCTTTTACCTCTTTGGTGCCTCTTTCAGGCATACGAAGTTAAAATCAGGTACTGTGAGTGCCCACGTTTTTTGGTTCTTATGAAGGTGCTTTTTTTTCTGTATATAATTGTTAATTTGGTGTCCTTGGAGTGGGGGTTGGGGGACAGGACAGATCAGTGGAGCTTTCTACCATCTTGCTCTACCTTCTCCCTATTTTACATTTTGATAACCACCATTCAGTAGCCTCTCTTGAGCCCTACAATGCAGTGAAGAGCTTTGATGCGCAAATGTTTGCATCCTGGATCCATCCTTTACTATGCGTTTGATCTTTAACGAGTTATTTAATGTCTCTGAGCCTGTTTCTTTATCTGAAAATGGAGACAATGACAGTGTAAACATCACAGGGTCATTTTAAGGATTAAATGAGATAATCTCATGTAAAATCCTTAGTAAGCACTCAATGAAGGAAAGGAGGAAGGATTTTCTATGTTCCTTGACTCATTAGCAAGCCCCAGAAGTTAAATAAACAGTCAGTTAAATGGGGGGAAGAAAGTTGTGTGTGTGTGCATATGTGTGTATTAAATAATCAGTTCCAAACCACTTAAAAATTTTTTAATATCACCACCACTCAGACTTAAAACTAACATGTAGTAGTCTTTAGTGTTGCCAATAATTACTAATGAGTCTCCCTAGCTTGGTTTTGTTGGTTACATCAATGTTGCTAAATTTAGTTTTTCTTTCCAAGATTTAACTTTAGCCAGATTGATCTAAGTAATAAAATTAACCCTATCATCTTACACAGTAGGGGCTTATCTTTAGAGAATGAGTGTAAACTTTTCTTAATAACAGAGAAGATAACCTTAAACTTCAAGGATGGATGGGGTGATTGATAGCGGAGCAGGGTGGGAGAGAAGTGTTTCCAGAGAGGATGATCACATTGCCAACACTCGAACGGATCAGTGGAAGTCCTTTGGCTTGCTGATGAAACAGAGAGCTCAGGGTGGAAATGACAACCCATCCTCTGGCAAAGTAGACTGTGGACCCCTGCACAGGCTATGAGTGTCCTATTGCCCAACAGGGACTCTGTAGGCTATGGGATCTGGGTGTGGACCACCAGCCTTTCCTCCATCTGAGTGGACTTGTGTTCATGAAGTATCTTCTGGAAGTCCAGCAGATAGAAAGTAACATACAGAAAGAGCAGACCAGGACTTGAGAATTGGGGGGCACAGGGAAGATGAAGGATGAAAATAAGCAGGACAGGGCTTTTTCAAATATTCTCTTAACACCGAGGCTGAAACAGGCATAGATCATTCCCATAAACCACAGAGAGTTTCATGAGAAACTCTCCTCTCCCCACCTTTTGGGACTATAGATCTTCAACATCTATTTAGTTATCTAGGTGCATTTTCTCAATGTTAGTAATTCTGCGGGGAGGGGAGAGAGCAGTCACCACCAGAAAGATAGAGGCGATGTCTCAGGTTGGCTTGCCCCTGGCTGCTGGCCAAGGTCAGACACTAGCATAAGTGCTGTCATGTCCAGGCAGCAGGACAGAATGGAAGGAGGTTCAGACTCAGTCTTTCAAGTTCTACTCAAAGCCCAACTCAAGTGATACCACCTGTGGAAAGTCTTCCTTTGTGCTCCAGAGCAGGTAGTGTCCTTTGCCCTTAGATGGACGTATGATGGTATTTACTTAGTTGATTACCTGTTACTCTTCCCCAATGGACAGTAGACTGGCTGCTTGACAGCGGGGATTCTTTTCTCATTAATCAGTGTATCCTTTTTAGAATGATGTATCAGGTATCTTTTGCTGCATAAAACTTCCCACTCTTTATGTATTAAAATTACAAACATCTTTATTATTTATCACAGTTCTGTGGATTATCTATACAATTCTTATGGTCTGTGTCAGCCTGACTGGGGTTGGATATAGTCTAGGATGGCTTTACTCATGTGTCTGGAAGTTGGCAGGCTGGTTGATCTGTGAATAGGGCTTAACTGGGATGATTCATTTATGTTCCATGTGGTCTCTGATCCTCCGGTAGGCTAGCCCAGGATGCTTTACTTGGTGGTCTCAACTCTACAGAGCATGCATGTAAGTTCTGATGCACAGGTTATTAACAAACCTCTGACTGCATCACATTTACTAATGTTCCATTGGTCAAAGCAAGTTACAAGGCCAAGATCAAATTTAAAGGGGAGAGGCCAGGCACGGTGGCTCACACTTGTTATCTCAGCACTTTGGGAGGCTGAGGCGGGTGGATCACCTGAGGTCAGGAGTTTGAGACCAGCCTGGCCAACATGGTCAAACCCCACCTCTGCGAAAAATACAAAAATTAGCCGGGTATAGTGGCAGGTGCCTGTAATCCCAGCTACTCGGGAGGCTGAGGCAGAAGAATTGCTTGAACCCGGGAGGTGGAGATTGCAGTGAGCCGAGATTGTGCCACTGCACTCCAGCCTGGGCAACAGAGCGAGACCCCATCTCAGAAAAACAAACAAACAAAAACAAAACAAAACAAAAAAAACCCCACAGATAAACAAACAAAAAAATTTAAGGGATACAGATATAGACTTCATCTTTTCATAGGAGCAGCTGCAAAGTCACATTATCAACAGGAATTTATGGTCATTTTTACAGTATTCTACAAAATCTTGTTTGGCGCACAGTAGGTAATCAAGAATGCATGTTGCAAGAATTAGGAGGTAAAGTCTATTCAAATAATTTTCATGTTCACCCCTCATCCCTCCCCATTGGCACATCTACTTCCATGCCTCCTAATCATTGTTGGGATCTTTGAGTTGGGAGGAAATGTTATCTAATGGTTTGAAATGTTTGTTGCCCCTGATTCAATACGCATGGGTCCTTTCTATCTGAGAGTTTCACACTGGTCATCTTGGCCCTACCCATCTCAACACTGGAGCCGTGCACAACTTTCTGACTTGTGGATTATGTACCCACCCTTAGTGTTTGCTTTTTGAACAGACCCAGAAAAGGGAAAACTGGTTGTCTGCCAAAGCGTGGACAGTATCAGCTGGCTGCACCTCCTTCGGCCAGTTGCTGCCACTTGGGGCCCTCTGGTGGCTTCTTCTTGCATAGCTCCAGGTTAGGTATGAAATTCACTGTCCGAATTGTCATAAGCTTGGCTAGAGTCCAGAGCCTTCCAAGGTAAAGCTCACAATGTGGTGGAATGCCAGAGATATGAAAAGAAGAAATAATAAACAAAACAAAATTTAAATAAACCAACACCATTTAGAGCTTGTAGCTTTCTTGTTTCACCATGACTTTGCCCAGAGAAAAGACAAAGCAGTGACATAAAGATAATGCATACAAAAGAGATCCGGCTGGGCGAGGAGGCTCACGCTTGTAATTCCAGCATTTTTGGAGGCCAAGGCGGATGGATCACCTGAGGTCGAGAGTTCGAGACCAGCCTGACCAATATGGAGAAACCCCATCTGTACTAAAAATACAAAATTAGCCAGGCATGCTGGCCCATGCCTGTAATCCCAGCTACTCGGGAGGCTGAGGCAGGAGAATTGCTTGAACCCAGGAGGTGGAAGTTGCGGTGAGCTGAGATTGTGCCATTGCACTCCAGCCTGGGCAACAAGAGTGAAACTCCATCTCAAAAAAACAAAACAAAACAAAAAAACAGAGATCCATATCACTAAAAATTGGGTGCTGGTGGGCAAGGAGCAGTGCCAGGCTCACCGAAGAAAAGTGGTGGAGTTGGAAAACAGGGGAGAGTCTCCTGACTTGAGCAGCTCGTCCAGGGCCTGGTAGGTCCCCACCACAAAGCCCACGAAGCCCAGGATGCTGATCAGGGCGTCCTTGAAGATGGTGAGGGGGCTCATGCCCTCTGAGTAGAAGGTGCTGACCTCCAGGAGCGGTGGAATGATGAGGGCCAGGGCGCTGCTGCTCACGGAGCCCACCAGGGAGATGACCAGGTCCAGGCGGGGGATGAGGACAGCCAGGAGGCCTGCAGGGAGGGGATAGGGGACAGATAGAGAATTCCAGGCTTAGCCAAGCTTTGAAAGTTTGTTCTTAAAGTCCTCTTCTTGGCCGGGCACAGTGGCTCACACCTGTAATCCCAGCACTTTGGGAGGCCGAGATGGGTCGATCATTGAAGGCTGGGAGTTCAAGACCAGTCTGTCGCACATAGTGAAATCCTGTCTCTACTAAAAATATAAAAATTAGCCGGGTATGGTAGTAGGAGCCTATAATCTTAGCTACTCAGGAGGCTGAGGCAGGAGAATCGCTTGAACCTGGGAGGTAGAGGTTGCCGTGAGTCAAGATTGCACCACTGCACTCCAGCCTGGGTGACAAAGTGAGGTCTTGTCTCATTGAAGAAAAAAAAAAGAAAAAAAATCCTCTTCTTAAAAAATAAACCAGTTGTTTCGCAGAAATTCAATTACAGAAAGAAAAGTTGAAAGTCCTCCAATATCCCTAATTATATTCCCTAGAAGTTACGCATTAAAAATTCAGCCAGGCAGAGTGGCACAATCCTATAGCCCCAGCTATTTGAGAGGCTGAGGCAAGAGGATCCGAAAGTTCAAGGACGGACTGGGTAACATAGTGAGACCCCATCTCAAAACAACCACCACCACCACAACAAAATTTGGAGTGTCTCTAATTGTATTCATTCATATTCTTCATTCATATTGTTGGGAGGAAACGTACTCGTTCAAAAACTTTTCCCCTACCAACTTAGAATCAGTGGTTGGGGGCCTGTGAATGTAACTGACAGTAGGTAAGATTAACGAGAGAAAAGACAAAGTGTGTTTATAAGCTCCAGAGCCTTGAGATGAATTGGCTTCCAGAACAGCCAAAGATACCCCCTTAATACGGGGAAAAGGAGGGAGGAGGAGGGGCTTTTATGGAAGAACAAATGGAAGATATGACAGTTTCAGATAAAATGTGTTAAACAGTTAGTAATTCCAATGATAACGCTAAGTTTCTTTTCTGGCTCTAAACTTCCCAAAGAAGGGATTTATGGCAGCTGTATTTTTCAGGAGGTCCTGCTTACATCAGCAAAAGAAGATTAGATAAAGTTTCTTTCTGCAGCTTCTTTTTGTTCAGATATTTTTAGCTTAAAATAATCTTTATGCTACCGAGGTGCATTTTGGATCTTACATATCCAATAAAACTTAAGCTCTCATTTAATAAATAACACTAAATAACAGTGCTGGGAACCGTTCAAGCTGTTTGGAATATATCAATGTACAAACTATCAAGGTTTGTATTATGAAAATTTGTATCAATGTACAAATTTTTTTAGAAGTCTTGTCTTTTTTTAAATGCCTAGCATTTTAATGAATAAAAAATCATATAAATAAATAAAATAAATAAATAATTTTTAAAATGCCGAACATTTTAATAAATAATTAACATGAGTATGAAAACCTCTTACTTGCAAACAATTAGAATATGAAATCATTTATATACAAAGAGATCTTCAGTTGGAAGAAAATCCACAAGGTGTCTTTCAAGAAGTGTCTTCTCCAGGTTTTGCACACATGTCAGATAAACACCTAACAAGGAAACATGAAAAGCTAAAAATTTTGAAATTGTGTTTTTTTAGCAGGATGTTTTACAGACCTGGGCTTTTACATTTTTTATTATATTTGATGAAAAATGTTCCTGGTCATAAAGAAGTCCCAGGAGCCGTGAGCAGGCCTCCTTTGGAGGAGGACTGTGGTAGAACAGAACAGGTCTGGAAGGCAGGAGTCTGATTTTTTCTTGTATGGCCTTGCCTAAGTCCCACCCCTTCCTCAGCTTGTTTCCTCAGCTGCAAAATGGAGATGAAGGCTACTATCCTTTTAGGTATTGTGATTCATTCTGCATAGGACATAAAAGTCTTCAATGAGATTTTTCATGTAAAGCATTCCGAAAAGTTATCTTTGCTATTACTTCAAGTTATTTACTCATACATGCTAATTGATAATGCATGAAGTGTAGTGTAGGCTTAAGGGATTGTTATCTTTATACTGTGGGACAAATTCCTTGATCTATCTGGAATCTCTAAGATACTGGATGGTTCCTGCCTTCAAGGTCAAACTAAGAATGAATCACTTCAAAAGAAGAAAATCAGTGTCAAATAAATGCTGTGGGCTGGCCTAGAAAAGCAAGAATCCAGAGCCACTTCAGCCAGTCAGTCTCAGGGGATCCAGCAGCTGCTGCAGGCCAAGACACAGCCACTGAGAAGGTGTCCAAGTCTGAGCAAAAGACAGAGAGGCTGAAGCAGGCCAAGGGGGCAGCTGAGGCTGAAACTGAACAGCACCGCCTGAAGAGAGAGAAAGAGTTCAAGACCAAGGAAGCTGCAGCCCTGGAATCTCACAGTGGCTGTGGCACTCAAGTGGCACAAGAGGCTCAGAAGAAGAGGACCAGCCTCCAGAACTACTTCCAGCAGAACGGGGGTGAAGGCTTGGCTAGCCTCTTGGCTTTTGTCTGTGACACTTGGACAGAAATCCATGAAAACTACTGCATAAATGAAGAAGAGTGGGAGAAAGAAGCGCCTGTACCATGGATTGGCATTTTAGATGCCCTTGAAGAATATGAAGCTCGAGTTATATTCTTATGAAAAGGTATTACATGATTTCTGTATATTATGTAGCAAGTCCCTTCACTTCTCAGAGAATATAAAATCTAGCTTCTTTGTACAGACTTAGAACTTATCTACAGATTTTCTTTTTACATCGTATTTCCTAGAAATTTAATGGGTATATGTCATCTGTTTTCCCATGCCTTTTAGCTCACGTAACAAATATATCAATGTATCAATGTTGACTTTTTCTTTCTTTTATCTAGTAAAAAAAAGTTATTTGAAGAAAGAAAGAGATTAATCATTTTTTTCCCTGTAGCGTTTTCTTGAATGTCAGGATTCTAACAATGAAAAAGTAGTAAATAGTTATTTGTAATCTGTGTGAAGCAGCAGCTACCCTTAAATTAGTCCATTCCTGCTAATGGTTAGAATAATGAATACTAGTATAACTGTTTGGGCTGCTTTTAGTTTCTCTTAATTAAAATTACTAGATGGTAGAATTCAAGAACTTGTTACATGTTATTACTCGGTGTACTGATAATCATCTAAAAGTAACACTTTGTCATGCAAAAAGAAAAAAAGAAAGAATTTCCTAAATGTCCATGGACAGATGAATGGGTACAGAAAATGTGGTTTGTACATACAGTGGAATACAATTCGGCCTTAAAAAAGAAGACACTTTTGCAATTACAATCAAAAGGCATCTTAGGGACAGCTGGGCCACCTCTACTCTGTACAGGAATCTCTAGCCATCTCCTTTGGCCTCTGGTGGAATACTTGCAGACTGGGGTACTCCGGGTCATGGGGGCTGCTGTGAGCCAGGGAGTGGGAATGACCTCAGCCAACAGGCAAGCACAGGACCGTCCAGGGGCCAAGGAGCCCCAGCTGATTGTTGCCAATGGGGAATGTGATCCCAGGCTTGCCCAAACATTTTATAGTAGCCCCACCAAAAAATTTTAAAAATCTGCGTTTGTATGGAAGATTGCCCATATTTTAATGTTGGCCCACATTTATACAACATTGTGAGGTTCAAACAACACCTGTTGCCAAATTAGAGTCCCATTTTCAATGTCTGCCCTGGAGGTAAAGGGCACTGGTTCTAGACTTATATGACTTGAATTCAAATCCTACTTCTGACACTTTCTGGCCAATTATTAATCACTCACTGCCTCAGTTTTCTCTTTCATAAAGTAGGGTTTATCATAGTTCTACCTCATGAGAATTGTTGTGAGGACTGAATAAAATATTATGAAATTTAGACTAGAAAGAGCTGAACACAGTGCCTGGCACACAGTAAGTGTTCAATACATGTCAGTTCTTACGATTTTTTTATTAATGTATTTATTTGAGACAGGCTCTGACTCTGTTGTCCAGGCTGGAGTGCAGTAGTTCAATCTCAGTTCACTGCAGCCTCGACCTCCTGGGCTCAAGCAATCGTCCCACCCCAGCCTCCCAAGTAGCTGGGACTATAGACATGGGCCACCATGCCTGGCTTCTTTTTTTCTTTTTTTTTTTTGTAGAGATGGGGTTTCACCATGTTGCCCAGGCTGGTCTCAAAATTCCTGAACTCAAGCAATCTGCCTGCCTTGGCCTCTCGAAGTGCTGGGATCACAGGCATGTGCCAGAGTGCACAGCAAGTTCTTACAATTATTGTTTGATAAGCTGTGTCAATCCCTTCGGCTGAACACCAGCAAATCTGTCTAATTAGGTACATGTAAGAATGGGGTTGTCCTTGAGGCTTAGATGAGTGAATACTTGTAAAGCTTTAGAATGGTCCCTGGAATACAGTAAGTGTTCAGTAAATGCTGATTGTCATGACTGCCCTCTACCATCTGGCTAATTCTTTTTTTTTTTTTTAAGATGAATCTTGCTCGTCGCCCAGGCTGGAGTGGCACGATCTCGGCTCACTGCAACCTCTGCCCCCCCATGTTCAAGTGATTCTCCTGTCTTGGTCTCCCGAATAGCTGGGATTACAGGCACATGCCACCACGTCTGGCTAATTGTTGTATTTTTAGTAGAGACAGGGTTTCCCCATTTTGGCCAGGCTGGTCTGGAACTCCTGACCTCAGGTGATCCACCCGCCTCGGCCTCCCAAAGTGCCAGGATTACAGGTGTGAGCCAGTGCATCCGGCCCATTCTGGCTGATTCTTGATAGCCCTCAGAAAAGATCAGCAGGAACACTGCACTCTCCTTTCTACTCACATGTCAGGCAGACCATGGCGAGGCGAATGGACAGATCCAGAGGCAGTGCCCAGTGTGTTGACACCCGGGAGATGGCAAAGGGGATGATGATTTCCGCAGGGACGTAGAACTGCAGGGCATAGGTGCACAGGATGCCGGCAATGTAGAGAAGCTTGACAGACTGGTACAGCCTGCAAGACAAACCACAGCGCTGTTCTCCACAGCCACTGTGTTCTGACACTGGCCTCCTTGGAACATTAACCTCTGACCTTGGGACAATGACTTGGGCTTTTGTTTTCCTTTCTGAAAACAGGGACTTTCTAAGAGTCAGGAGGGAGTCACAGCAGGGCATGCAGTGAAAATAGAGGGAAGCTTTCCTGATTCCATGGAAACAATTGAAAGGGTCATTTCTAAATGAAATAAAAATCATCTTGAGCTTGAGTATATATTGCATCTTCGCAAATCACTACCATCTGATGCTCAATCTTACGTTTTAGAAAAGAGAGGCTCAGGCCAGATACTTTGCCCGGGGAGACACAGATGATAAGTGGCTAAGACCAAAAGCCCTGGATCTAAAAGACTCTAGTCTTTTGTGATCTGTCAGTCCTTAGGAATTCTCTGGATTCCCCCAAAGCTCTTGGCACATAACAGTTGTCTCTAGTTGGTTGAGAGAACTGCAGAATCCCAAATCCTTGGAGGAAGAGACAGTGTGTAAATAGGGCTATGTGGAAGTTAGGGGGAGTCAGGGTGGAATACAAGGAGAAACAGGGTTACTTGCTGGCCTCAAGCTAGGGGCAGAGAGTGTGTGAGGCTTCAGGGATACTGAGTTCTATCTCAGTTTTTTTCTTTTTGATCTATTGAGATGTGACTATTTTCCTTCAGTCCACTAATGTAGATGCATTTCCATGTTTAATAAATGTGTGTGTGACACTGGGCATAGTGGATCACGCCTGTAATCCCAGCACTTTGGGAGGCCGAGAGGGGTGGATCACCTGAGGTCAGAAGTTTGAGACCAGTCTGACCAACATGGCAAAACCCTGCCACTACCAAAAATACAAAAATTACCCAGGTGTGGTGGTGCACAACTGTGATCCCAGCTACTCGGGAGGTTGAGGCAGGAGAATCTCTTGAACCTGGGAGGTAGCGGTTGCAGTGAGCCGAGATTGCGCCACTGCACTCCAGCCTGGGTGACAGAGTGAGACTCTGTCTCAAAAATCAATCAATCAATCAATCAGTCAATCAATCAATCAATAAGGGTGCTTGTGTGTTTAGCCCATTCCTTAAAAAGGCTAACTTCCACATTGCTGTGTTTCTTGCTCACGCTAGTCCTGTTGCCTGGGCACCCTCTTTACTTCATTTCCATCTGTTCAAACCCGTCCAAGTTTTTGAAATTCCCCTCTTCTGAGCAGGTACCACAGCCAGATGCTTTTAGACACAGCCCAACTTAATCCTCATGACAACTCCGGTTTATAAATGAGGCAACTGAGGTTCAGAGAGGTGAAGTAAATCATCCACTACCACAAGCTAGTAGGTGGTGCAACTGGAACTTGGACTCAGGTGTACCAGAATGGCCCATGTTTGGAGAGAGTTGACCTGCTGGACAATGAGTTTCCCTGTTGTCTCCTTCCAATGTGCTTTCTTTCCTTGGAAATCCCCAAGGCCTGTTTGCTACTCTGCAGAGCTTCTTTTTCTATGTTATAGTTTGTGTCCATACACTATTATCTGTCCCTCCACCATTACCACCGAATCAGGAGCCGATGAAGACAGGGAAGCTCCAAGGTCATAGTCTACTCACATCAGTGCCGCTTGGCATCTGCTTATAATTGGCATGCAATAAATGCTTGATGAGTGACTTTATCATCTTGGGAAAGGAGCCCCATTTAGGCAAATTAGGGCTCCAAGTGACTGTGACTCTCTGCTTGAGAAGACCCAAATGTCCTTTAATTAATGACATTACCTGCTGTGGGAGAAAATCTTGCACAGTGGGATGTGGGTTCACGTGTCTGTTCAATATGGCACTGTTGAAGTCTGTGGGGCTGCTAGCTATTGCATGAATTGGGTATGTTAGAACACAAAACTTTTACAGATTCCAGTGGTCTTCCCAAATTGTTTTGCTTGTTTTTTTTGAGACAGAGTCTCTGCCACCCAGGCTGGAGTGCTGTGGTGCCATCTTGGCTCACTGCAACCTCCACCTCCCAGGTTCAAGCGATTCTCCTGCCTCCGCCTCCTGAGTAGCTGGGACTGTAGGTGTGTGCCACCATGTCTAGCTAATTTATTTATTCATTTCTTTTTTTGAGATGAGTTTCGCTCTTGTTGCCCAGGCTGGAATTCAATGGCACCATCTCGGTTCGCTGCAACCTCTGCCTCCCAGGTTTAAGCGATTCTCCTGCTCAGCCTCCTGAGTAGCTGGGATTACAGGTGCCCACCACCATGCCTGGCTACTTTTGTATTTTTAGTAGAGATGAGGTTTTGCCATGTTGACCAGGCTGGTCTTGAACTGCTGACCTCAGTTGTTGAACTCCTGACCTCAGGTGATCCACCCACCCTGCCTCCCAAAATGCTGGGATTACAGGTGTGAGCCACCACGCCTGGCCTGTTTGTTTTTAAGAGATAGGGTCTCACTGTGTCACTCAGGCTGGAGTGGAGTGCAGTGGTGCGATGACAGCCTTCTGTAACCTCAAACTCCTGGGCTCAAGTGATCTTCCTACCTCAGCATCCCAAATAGCTGCGACTACAGGTATGAGATATCACGCTCAGCTAAGTTATGGTAATTTTTTTGTAGAAGTGGGGTCTTACCATGTTGCCCAGGCTGGCCCAGTTGGTTTTTGTTTTCCATTTTTTTATCTGGTTACTCTGACTTGGGGAATGTGAACCATTGGCTGTGGCAAACAAGACTATGGGAAGTGTGGCCGCCCCCGACTCCTCTCTCTGTCTCTTTCCATCTCCCAGTGCCCCTCCCTTCTCTCCTTAGGAGACCAAGGCCTCTCACTTTTGTCCTCTCTTCTTAAGTCACGTCCTCCTTCAAACTAAGATGTCAAGGCTTAACTCAATTTGGGAGGCTGTTGTTGAAGGAGGAACTCCCAGGACAGAGAATCTGGAGACCATGGTTCCAATGACAATTCTGCCTCTTCTGTGGGAGGCTCTCTAGACCTCAGTTTTCCAGCTGTGGAAGGGAGGAGGAAGTGACCTACAAGTTTCCACTCATCCCTGAGTCCCCGCCACCTGACAGCCCATGAAGATACCAGCAGTTAGGCAGGTTAAGGCTTATGCTGGCCTTAATGTCATCTCCAAACCGCAGGTAGCCCAGAGTCCCGATGCTGATGTACAGGGAAGTGACGATGGACATTCCCAAAGACAGGATGGCTGGGAAGTGGCGGGCATTTTTCATCTTGTTTTCCAGAGGCAGAACCTACAGAAACATCACAATGTCAGAAGGATAAAGAAGGAAAAAGAGAAATAAGAACATAAAGAAAAATGGCATCCTACTTCTGGATGTCTACCCCAAAGAACTGAAAGCAGGGCCTCAAAGAGATATTTGTATGTTTATGTGCATAGTAGCATTATTCACAATAGCCAAAAGGTGGAAGCAACTCCAAGGGTCTAGCCACAGAAAATGGATACACAAAACGTGGTGTATCAATGCAATGGAATGTTATGTAGCCCTGAAAAAGAAGGAAGTTTTGTCTCATGCTACCCCACGGATGGATCTTGAGGACGTTATGCTGAGTGAAATAAGCCAGTCACAAAAAGACAAGGACTGCCTGATTCCACTTATATGAGGTACCTGGAGTAGGTAGGTCCAAAGAGGCAGAATGCTAGTTGGGAAGGACTGGCATGAGGAGGGTATGGGGAGTTATTGTTTAATGGGTACAGAGCTTCAGTTTTGCAAGCTGAAGAGTTCTGCAGATGAAAGGCAGTGATGGTTGTGCAATAATCTGAATTTACTTAACATATACGTATACTCGAAAATGGTTAAGATGAGTAAATGTTATGTTAGGTGTGTTTGACCACAGTTAAAGAAAAAAAGGAAATAAAAGAGGAGGAAAAAAGGTAGGAAGATGAGGGTAAGGAGGAGGAAGGCGATAAAAAGAAAGGCCTGGAGTCACCTGATGAGCCCCAGACCCTTAAGAGCTGGAAGGGCCCTGAGATTTTATCCAGACCAAAGATCTCAACACTGGGTCAGCTAGATCTGGCCAGCAGATGCATTTTGTTTTGACAGCACAGTCTTTCATAATTGAATATGAATGCCTTTAGGCACAATGTTGTTTTCCCATTCACCAGGCCCTCCTCCCCTCACCCTCACCCACCAGTGAATTATACCTGCTTTCCAAAGGCATTTGTGTTGGAAACTCCTAATTCCAGTGCAGACTCCCCCAACCCAACTCCACCACTGTACAGTGGGGAGTCTGAGACTCCAGGAACAAAGGGCGCTGGTGGCAGCTGGGACCAGACAGTGGTTCCTGGTCCTGCCAGCAATGCATTTCCCCACACCCCAGGTTCTCACTTTTCTGTTCTCAGAATCCTTCTTCCCCTAAATGCATACCTGGTTCTAAGAGAATCCAAGTTGAGGCCAGTCTGCCTCTTGCCAGTTGGGCATTTGAAGATCTCTTGTGTCTTTGAAACCAATCTTCCTGTCTCTCATCCCATAATTTCCTCCTCAGACTCTTACTGTCCAAGAGACCACCGCTACCTTCTCCTACTCCTTGTTTAGGCTGTGTGCTAAGCACTCTCTACATGCACTATTTAGCTAATCTGTTTTCTTATCTGAAAACGGGCTCAAATGAATTTTGTTTTGTTTTGTTTTGTTTGTTTTTCTTTTTTGGAGAGTCTCACTCTGTTGCCCAGGCTGGAGTGCAGTAGTACAATCACAGTTCACTGCAACCTCTGCGTCCCGAGCTCAAGAGATCCCTCTCATCTCAGCCTCCTGAGTAGCTGGAACTACAGGCACATGCTGCCATGCCTGGCTAATTTTTGTATCTTTTTGTAGAGATGGGCTTTTGCATGTTGCCCACACTGGTTTTGAACTCTTGGGCTCAAGCGATCCTCCCACATCGGCCTCCCAAAGTGCTGGGATTACAGGCGAGAGACATCACACCTGGCCGAATTTTGCAAATTTTGTGGAGAATTACACAAGCACCATAATGGCATGTCAAAGGCTTAGTAAATATTGGCGGTGGTTATTTTTTAATACTGTAAAGACCATAACTCTATGAGGTTGGTACCTCCATAATTCTTGTTTTACAGATGAGGAAAACAAGGCTCTGAAAGTGAGATAACTTATCCCAAGTTGCAGAACCAGAAAGTGTCAGATTCAGGTTGTAGACCAGCGCTGTTATCCAAAGTCCAAGTACCTGCTTCTACTCCTATAGCAATGGGTATATTTGTTACTAAGGAATTTAGCATCTTTTCCCTTATACGGTTGAATTCTTTTCTGTTGTACATGCAGACTTCCAGCACTGACACTCCCTAACCTTCCCACTATTCCAGGCGTTTGGAAGATGCTTGAGGACAGTGTCAGGCTGGGTCATCCCTGTGCCTTTCCACTTTCTTCTGGATTAGGTCTAGTTGCAGCAGGTGCTCAGGAGGATGTTTGATGATTATACAATAATTGTGTGGAGAGCAGACAATCCAACCTGAGCTCTTGCACCCTGCAACACAATTTCGTTGCATATATTCTCAAGGCCAAAAATGATCTTTCCACAAGGCCTGCTCAGACTGGGTAGCTGGCTTCCTCTCTCTCTCTCTCTCTCTCTCTGTCTCACTGTCTCTCTCTCTCTCTCTCTCTCCACAATCAATCAGTCAAAGAGATAAATGGCTGTTGACAGTGAGTGGGAAGGTCCCTGGACTGAGAGTCAGATGTACTAGGCTTTAATCACATCTGCACAGTTCCTAGCTGGTGACCTAACTGAAGCCCCTTTCTCTCTCTGGGGCTGTCCCTCTTCTGTAAAATTGGAGACTGGGCCAGAAGAGTTCTTCTTAAGATAATTTCAACTAATACTAAGAATCACCAGCACATAGTAGGCATTCAAGAAATACTTACTGAACAAACATTGTCATCATTTTATAGTTGGAGTGTTAGAGTTCAGAGAGTAGCCCCGGCCAAACCAAGATTCCAGCACATTCTGCCTCCAAAGTCACTTGCTCAACCACTGCACTCTGCTTCTGTCCATGACTACTCCAAATTCTAAAAACAAAGTGCTTCCAGTTCCATCTAGATGAAGTAAGCACACTTCACAATATCTCTTTCACTAATTATGGCTAAAAATCATGGACGAAATACATAAAGCAATTGTGCACAGGTTCTGAAGAGTAAATAGTAGCAGGCAGAATGGGGAGGGAAATCAAAAAGAAAAAACAACTGTCGTGGTGGTGAGTTTCCTGATTTTTTTTCTTCCCATATGTCCCAGTTTAACCTCAAGGGACACCCAAATCTTAGAACTATGTGGTGCATACAGACAGAAAATAACGACAAGAGAAACTTCTTTTTGGCCAGATGACTTAGAATAGGGTCCCCTGTGGGATGAAGAGCATGGAGAGAAACTCTATTTTTCTGTTTCTTTGTTTTATCTCCAGGCCGAGACTCAAAGCAAGTCCCAGTCACTAAGCAGCATTCTGGTATATCAGTGGCTGTAGTGGTCACACAGGCACCCAAAAATCTGAGATAAAAATCCTCTCTACACAGTAGTACTAGGAAAATGGGCTTTAAGAGTCTGAAGAGTGTGGGAAATCAGGACTGGCGACATAATTTATGGGCCCCAGTACAAAATGAAAATGCAGGGCTCCTTGGTGAAAGATGGTTTCAGCAGAGCGTTAAACTAAGTGTGAGATCCTTCTGAAAGTTGGACCTTATGTGGCTGCATGATTCACCTGCTCATGAAACTGACTCTGGAAAGAATCACTGTTACGCTTTTTCTTTCTCTTTTCACTCATTGCTCATCCCCAGAGGCAGACCTGATCACAGGAAGTACATGACAGTGTAGGAGGCTAAAATCCTGGCTTTCTAGCCAGAGGATGGGAAAAAGAAGCCACTGCGAGCTGGCGAGTGTTCAGGAAAACACAGAGGAGAGAAAACTGGAAAAAGCAATCTCCTAAAATCTGTGAATAATATTCTGGGCCCAGCCCTGAGCTGTACATGTGTGGAACTGATGAAGGCATCAAAGCAAAGGCTTCGAGAACTGAACTACTGTGTAGAGTCCTGTCTGCCGATTGGCACTAGGTGGCACATGAGCAGGGTAGAGCCAAATATCACTTTACGGGCTTTGAAAACTAATTGGATATTGGAACCATGGCCCACAGAAGGTGAGCAAGGACTTATGATCTGAATCTAACTAGGTAGATGGTTTGCTAAAACCAAAAATCAACATTCTGAAGAGGATTTTAACAGGATCCTGAGTCTCCTAAAATAATATTCACAATGCATAGGATACAGTTTCAAATTATTCAACCTACAAAGAACAAGAAAAATCTCACCAACTTTCAAGAGAAAAGACAACAGATGCCAACCTTAAGATGACTCAAACGTTGGGAATATTAGGCAAAGACTTTAAAGCAGGTAATATAACCATACTTCAAAAAGTAAGGGAGAATGCTATTAAAATAAATGCACAGATACAAGTTCTTAGCAAAGTCGAAGCAATGTAAAAGAAACAAATGGAGATATTATAACTGGAAAATAAAATAATAAAAATTTAAATACCTCACCGTAGGGGCCTGATAGCAGAATGTAGATAACAGAAAACAGAGTCGGTAAATTTGAGGATAAACAGGAATGACAGAATCTGAACAACAAAGAGCAGAAAGATTTTTTTAAAAAATGAACAGAGCCTCAGAAACCTGTGGGATATGCAGTTGACTCTTGAACAACATGGGTTTGAACTGTGCAGGTCCTCAAATAAGTGGATATTTTCAACCAAATGCATATTAAAACTACAGTATTCATGGGCTGCAACACCTGTATGTATGGAGGGCTGACTTTTCATATACTCAGGCTCTGCAGGGCCACCTGCAGGACTTGAGTAGGTGCAGATTGGTTATACACCGGGTGTGTGTGTTTAGGGGAGGGGGGAACAGGGCCCTGTAACCAATCTCCTGTATATACTAAGGGATGACTATATATCAAAAAGTCTAACGTTCAGGTTATTGGGATCTCCGATGGAGAAGAAAAAGAGATTGGTGAAGAAAAAAAAAAATCTGAAAAAAATAATGGCTGAAATTAGGTAAATTAGGTAAAAGACAAACTTTTACAGATTCAAGAAATCCTGTACAGGGCAAACTCAAAGAAACTACATTAAATATAATACAGTATAACGGCTGATTAAAAAAGATTTTTAAAAAAACACATAGCAAGAGCAAGAGAAAAACACATAGGAGAACAATGATTCAAACAATTGCAGATTTCTCATCAGAAACCACTGAGGGCAAAAAGAAAGGAAATCATATTTTCAAAATGATGGAAAAAAATTGTCCACCTAGAATTCCATATTGTGAAAAAATATCCTCTAGGAATAAAGGCAAAATAAAGACAATCTCAGATCAAGAAAATGAAGATAATTTGTCACTAGCAGACCTGCTTTAAAAGAAATGTTCATGAAGGTTCTTCATGCTGAAGGCAAATGATGCCAGAAGGAAATACGATTTCAAGAATAAAGAAAGAGCAATAGAAACAGTAAATATCTGAGTAGATATAATAGCCTATTTTTTCCTAGTGAGTTTATTACAAGGACTATGTATGACTATTGAAAGCAAAAATGATAACATTGTTGGTGTTTCAGTGTGTTTAGATACATATGGCAATACAACATAAAGGGGAAAGTGCCCTATACGATTGTAAAATGTTGACAGTTTACTAGCAGTGATAAAATATTAATTATCTCAAAGTAAACTGTGAAAACATATATTATAGTACCTAGATAAACTACTAAAAGTACTATAGAAAAAGATATAGTCAAAAAGTCAATAGGCCAATTAAAGTGGAATACTATAGAACTATAGTAATCAAAACTGTGTGGTTCTGGCATAATGGTAGACTTATGATCTTATAGACCAATGGAATAGAATTGAGAGTACAGAAATAAACCTATACATCGACGGTCAATTGATTTTTGACAAGGGTGTCAAAACTATACAACACGGAAAGAATAAATAGTCTTTTCAACAAATTGTGCTGGGACAACTGGATAACCACATATGAAAACATGAAGTTTGACCCTTACCTCATTACCACATACCAAAATTAACTCAAAATGGATCAAAGACCTACATGTAAGAGCTAAAACCATAAAACTCTTAGAAGAAAACTCTAAGGTAAGTCTCCATGACCTATGATTTCGTTCTTTCTTTCTTTCTTTCTTTTTTAAAGACAGGGTCTTGCTCTGTCACCCCAGCTGGAATGCAGTGGTGCAATCATAGCTCACGGCAGCCTTGAACTCCTGGGCTCAAGTGATTCTCCCACTCGGTTTCCTAAGTAGCTGGGACTACAGGTGTGTGCCATTACACCCAGCTAATTCTTAAATTGTTTTTGCAGAGACAGGGTCTCTGTATGTTGCCCAGGCTGGTCTCAAACTCCTGCCCTCAAGTGATCCTTCTGCCTTGGCCTCCTAAAGTACTGGATTAAAGGTGTGAGCCACTACATCTAGCCATGAACCTAGATTTTGCAATAGATTCTTAGACATAACACACAAAGTGCAACCAGAAAGAAAGAGGATGAATTGGACTTTATAAAAATTAAAAACTTTTGTGCATCACAGTTCACTATCAAGAAAGTGAGAAGCCAGGTGTGATGGACTATGGTCACGCAACTATAATCCCCACTACCTGGGAGGCTGAGGCAGTTGGATCACTTGAGTCCAGGGATTAAAAACCAGCTTGAGCAACATAGCAAGATCCCATCTCTCTCTCTCTCTCTCTCTCTCTCTTTTTTTTTTTTAATGGGACAGTGTCTTGCTCTGTTGCCCAGGCTGGAGTGCAGTGGCGCGATCTTAGCTCACTGCAACTTCCACCTGCTGGGTTCAAGCGATTCTCCTGCCTTAGCCTCCTGAGTAGCTGGGATTACAGGTGCATGCTACCATACCCAGCTAATTTTTGTATTTTTAGTAGAGATGGGATTTTACTATGTTAGCCAGACTGGTCTCGACCTCCTGACCTCAAGTGATCCGCCCGCCTCGGCCTCCCAAAGTGCTGGGATTACAGACGTGAACCACTGCACCCGGCCCCATCTCATTTTTAAGAGGAAAAAATTTAAAAGGAAAAAAGAAGGGAGAAGACAAGAATAAGAAAAAATATTTGCAAATCATTTTTCTGATAAGGATTTAGTATCTAGAATAAACAAAGAACTCTTAAAATTCAACAACAAAAAGACAAACAACCTAATTAAAAATAAGCAAAGGACTTGATGTTTCTCCAAAGAAGATGTACAAATTGCCAACAAGCAAATGAAAAGATGTTCAATGTCAAACACTTGTACACAAATGCTTACAGCAGTATCATTCATGATTGTCAAAAACTAGAAACAACCCAAATGTTCTTTGACAGGTGCGTTGATAAGCTGTGGTACTGCCCAGACAGTGGACGCTCTGCAATAGAAAGCAAGGTGTTATTGATGTGTGCAACAGCATGGATGAATTTAAAATGCATTAGGCTAAGTGAAAGAAGCCAGTCTCAATCTCATACATACTGTATGATCTCATATATGTGACACTTTGGAAAAGAGAAGACAGTACAGGCAGAGAACAGAAGGATAATTGTTCTGTATCCTGATTTTGGTGCATTTATTCCTCTACGTGCTTCTCTAAACTTACAGGAATGTACACCAAAAAAGTGAATGTTACTGTATGTACACTAAAAGTAATTTTTAAAAATATATAAACAACACTAACTTTCCACAAGTGTGGAAGTAGAGACTATAGACTGTAAATACACAGAACTTTCCAGGTTAAAACTCCATTATGTTTAATCAAATCTTTTAAATTGGACACCATGGTTCATCTTGATTTTAAAAGATTAGGAAACTCATGTCGATAGATGTTTAATAGGCATGTGGGGACAAAAATAAAACTGTCTCCTGACTGCCTCTCTGTTGTAATCAACTTTTCTCTTGCTGGTGACAACTGTCCCAAGTGAGGTCAGAGGTTACTTTCTCCCATGGGCATTTTCTAGCAGGCCCAAAACAATGGCCAGTGGGACACAGAAACCCAGAGCTCCCAGCTCCTTTCCAGAAGGTCACTCACAAGCACTAGGGATAAGGCCACCTCAATTCAAACCTTACCACACCAATGCTTTCAAAAGAAAAAATGGCTGTTCCGAAGAAGAGAGGGTAGGTCTTCCAGCTTGCTACCAGTGGCAACCGGCTGGGGTCTGGGATTTCCTAAAGGAGAGAGAAACGCTATGAGATAGTCACTCTTAAAGCACATTTGAGCTCCTTTAAGAGAAGGATAATCTGAAATGAGACCTGATTTTTTAAAATTGAGTATCAAGAAGTTTAGAGAACTTCAAATACATGTAGGCCACGATCAAAGTTGATTTCAACACTGCACAATACCAAAGAGCCAGAGGACGGTATTGTCAAAGCACTGAAGGAATAGTATCTCATAGAGGGAAGTTTGGTTTATCAAAAACCTCCAAAAAGGCTGGGTGCGGTGGCTCACACCTGTAATCCCAGCACTTTGGGAGGCTGAGGCAGGCAGATCACTAGGTCAGGAGTTCAAGACCAGCCTGGCCAACATGGTGAAACCCCGTCTCTACTAAAAATACAAAAATTAAGCCGGCATGGTGTTGGGTGCTGTAGTCCAGCTATTCGGCAGGGCTGGAGGCAGGAGAATGGTGTTGGACCTGGAGGCGAGCTGCAGTGAGCTGAGATGGCCCATTGCCTCTAGCCTTGGGAAAGAGGCGAACTCATCTCAAAAACAGAACAATCAAAACAAAAAAATTCCTCCAAAAGAAACCTTACCACCCCAGATTAGCACGAACGCGCCACGAACCTTTGAAATGGACAGTGGTCATTGGGTGGGGCTGGAAATTCGTGGACTGCAGGTGTCCATTAGCAATAATCTGAGGGCCAAAGTATGAAATATGAAGATCCATTTCTTCTTAATGGCCGTAAATGGAAGGGGAGACTGTGTTAAATAAATAGTCTATGTATTTGCATGGACCCAGAATGTGAAATGATAACCAGAGCCACTGTTTCTACTGGGCAACTTTGGCAATTTGGTCAAACAATGTATTAAGGTAGCTATCTCTTTAGGAAATTTCAAATGTTTTAGTCATCGTCTCTTCATAGAATATAAGACGTATCTGGCAGTTTATTCTAAAAGGTTGACTTAATTTTACCTGAATATTACAGACCATATTAGGCTTTTTTTCTCTTTGTGGTTTTCTTAATCAAGGGAAGAAAACCTGGAATTTATTAAATTATTGCCAAGCGGCTTTCTAGACTTCTAAACTTTCTCTGTAGTGTTGTCATTACAAAAAGAAGAATTAGGGCAGGCGTGGTGGCTTCATGCCTGGTAATTGCAGGCACTTTGGGGGGGCCAAGGCGGGAGATACTGGAGGTCAGGGAGTTCGGAGACCAGCCTTGGGCCAACATCCGTGAACCCCATCTGCTAACTAAAAATACAAAAATATTACAGCCGGGAGTGGTGGCTCGTGCCTGTAGTCCCAGCTATTCGGGGGAGTGCTGAGCAGGAGAACATCTGGATTCTTGAACCCGGAGGCAGAGGCTGCCAATGGCCGAGATGGTACCACTTGCACTCCCAGCCCTGGGTGGAAGATCGAGAGACTCTGTCTCAATACAATTAAAATAAATAAGTAAATGAATAAAAGAAAAACTAGAAAGGATAGCAAATTAGGAAACTGAGAGAAAATCAATGTCCATAATTCAACATCAAAGATATCATAACTAACAGTATAATAGATTTGCTTATAGGTTTTTTTTTAAATTAGTAACAAGACACTTATTGAAAACTTACGGTTTTTGAGACTCTCTATGTATACCTCTGTGACTAAATATTAGATTTTTTTTCTCTTACCTTCCTTAGGGGTAATATTGGGTACCTGAAATTGTACCCTATGGGTAACTCAATAACTGTTAGCTGTAGTACAAGAACCTGTTTTCACCTGCCTTTTGCTATCAGCCAACCATTATAGGAATGGTCTACAGTTCACCAACCAAGATATTTTCCTTGCAAGCACATTTTTTTACAAAAAGCCAGAATTTGACATAAAAATAGGTATTTGGAGAAAGAACATGAAGAAGGAGACAATCAGAAGAATGGGATTGCATGGAGACATCCTTGTAGAAGAAATGCTACAGGGAGGTGCGTGTCTCTCAGAACACTCTTACCCACCTACAGGGTTGCCTCCAGGTATCTAAAGCTCAGTCTATCCTTGACACAAAAACCCTGCCCAGTGGAGTGGGTAGGTGCGTGGTGTGCACTCACCTGGGTAATGTACTGGGCGATGATGACCAAGCTGACCAGCATGCTGATGTTGGCCAGCATGGAGAAGATGGTCAAGATCCTGAGGTTGCGGATGAGGACCAGCAGCACCAGGAAGGGCAGGAAGGAGAGCATGTAGAGTCGCGAGTCCATGGTGGGGATCAGAATCACCGTCTCATTGGAATGGCAGTTGTTGGTTGTGCTATTAACAGCTTCCACTACCTGAGGAAGGAATGGGAGAAGCAAAAAGGGGAGATGATGACTCTTCCAACCTCATGGTTGACTCAGTGCCTTGCCCCTAATCAAATTCCCTCACAATGAATGGGAGTGTCCCACAGTGCCAAATCTCACAGTGAGTTAGGGTGAATTTAGAACTTCTTCTGAACCCTCTGCACCATACTACCTCAGAAGAGGCTGAACAGGCTGGTCGCAGTGGCTCACGCCTGTAATCCCAGTACTTTGGGAGGCCGAGGCAGGTGGATCACTTGAGGTCAGAAGTTCGAGACCAGCCTGGCCAATATGGTAAAACCCCATCTCTACTAAAATACAAAAATTAGCCATGTGTGGTGGCACACGCCTGTAATCTCAGTTACTTGGGAGGCTGAGGCACAAGAATCACTTGAACCTGGGAGGCAGAGGTTGCAGTGAGCCAAGATCACACCACCACACTTCAGCCTAGGCAACAGAGTAAGGCCCTGTATCCAAAAAAAAAAAAAAAAAAAAAAGTTGTACAAATAGTTAAAAAATAAGTGTAATACCAAATAAATAACTGGATTCACAGTGGCTATTTGTTACCTTTTAGCAACTAGTGTCCATTTCTCCTGATACCAGTTTGATTTTGGTGAGTTCTCTCTTGTCACTGAATGCAGTGTTGGAGGACTGTAAATCACAGTCATGTGGCAGAGCTAGGGGATTGATTAGCCTTTGGCTCAAGCTGGGGCATTCAGACCCTCTTCCAGGAGTCTGAATGTAAACCTAAAGCATAGGGACCTAAGGACGGACTAGAAAAGGGTAAAGATGAATTCCGATAGTGGATTCCTGAGGAGGCTGCTCATTAGTTCTACCATGTACATCCTCCTCGCTACCCTGGCTCCTGTTCTTCCCTCAGACCTGCTTTTTAATTTAGTGGAAGGTAATATCCTTCCATGGAACTTATTTTCTGCTTAAATTCCCTCAGAATTGGTTTTTTTTGTTTTTTTTGTTTTTTTTTTTGCGTATAACCCAAAAGCTCCATCATTTACTGTTTCCTAATTAACACATACACTTACTGATTCCTAATTGGTACAATACTGGCATTTTAAATAAAAAACTCTTTCTTGTGTAGATTGGACCATTTGTTGCAGAACATTTAGTAGCCCTGGACCCCACCCAATGAAAGCCATGAGCATCCCCAATTACTGTGATAAACAAGAAGCCATCCCCCACTCCCCCACACAATATAAATACCCCCTTGTAAACTCAGGGGTAGGTGGATGCTACCACCCTCCATTTAAAGTCAGCATGACCTAACTGATACCGTCTTATTGGACAAGCAATACAAATCACTGCAGAACAATTAGGAACTAGAGTTTAGCAGGAGGAAAATGTAAATACATTGATAATCTCAGTACCAAGATGCTAACATCTTGGAAGATACTCATCTATATATTTTCTACACAATATCACAAATTACATATATTATACACATTCTTTTTATTTTACAAGACTTCAATCATAGCATTCACTTTTTTTTTGAAATGTCCCTTGCACTTAACAATACACCGTGGATACATAAATGAATCATTTAGGTATTGATTTTTTCTGATTCCTCACTACAATCAGAAAAATAACTGGAACATTAGCTAGGTACTCAAGGCCCTCCATAAATGGTCTCTATCAAACCTTCAAAGTTTCTTCCTCTCCCATGACCTACTCTTCCTCCTGTAACCAATTGTATTGCTTCTCCTGGGCAATCCCATAAGTTCTGCCTCCTGGTTTTCACTGATTCCTTCTCCCACCTTGGCTGCCACCACTTTTTTTCTCCAACCTGTCAGTACGCAGCTCAGATGCACCACCCCCCTGGAGGACGCTTTCCCTGCTCCAGTGATCTCTGCAATGTAGTTTGCACCCTGACCTCATGTTGTTGTTGTTAGTGGCATCCTGGCCTGGCACCAAAATATCATATTGATATTTAACTTATTAGGTTTCAGAACACACTCAACTTGGCCTGTAAACTCCTTGATACAGTGTTTGCCTTGATAATAAATGCAGATGATAAATAAATGCAGATAATAATAATTGCAGATGGTGAGTATAGGTCTGTACATGTCAGATTGCTTTCTAAAGAGCAATCTGGCAATGTTTTAAGAGCCTTCAAAACAATCAAACTCTTTGACTCAGTAATTTTACTTTAAGAAACATTAAGGAAATAAAGAAGTGCACAAAGACCTTTGTGCCAGCCAACAGATTATAGTAGAGAAACAAAGGGAAATAAGGGAAATGTCCAGCAACACAAGATTGATTAGGTTATGATCAATCTGTGTGATGGAATATTATGAAACTATTAAAAATTACATGACAAAATGTAAGGATATTGCAAAATGCTGACCAGTTAAGGTTACATTAAATTATAACCATGAATAATTGGATTAAGAGTAATTTTATTTTATTTTGTTTTCTGTGCAGAAGAAATACAGCATAGGTTTAAGAACTTGAGCACTGTTGTCAGAAGGCCTGGGTTTTAAACTCTGGCTCTGTTACCTTACATTGTAGAGTTTATAATCTCAGTTTTCTCATCGGCAAAATGGGAATAACCACAGTACCTGCTCTAATAAGGTCATGGAGATAATTAAATGAAGGAAAGCATGTAAAATGCTCAGCACTGTACCTGACATAATAGAATCTAACTCTGAAAGCTTACTATATTTTTCTTCTAGCTAGTTTACATTTTTGAATTTCTGGTATTACTACTATAAGCAGATAAAGAGCCCTAAAGAATAGTTTTCTTTTTAAACTTACTGATTAAGGATGGCCTCTGCTATTACCCATATTATTTGCTCAGATTGGTGTAAGATAACTTGTAGGTTAAATCAGAAACAATTCCTAGGGAAAACAACTATTAAGCCATAGATTAAGTACCAAGGCTGGATGTGGTGGCTCACACCTATAATCCCAGCGCTTTGGGAGATGGTGGGAGGATCACTTGAGCCCTGGGGTTTGAGGCCAGCCTGGGCAACATTGCAAGGCCTCGGCTTTACAAACAATAATAAAAAAAATTAGCCAGACATGGTAGCACACACTCGTGGTCCCATCATCTACTTGGGTGACTGAGGTAGGAGAATCACTTGAGCCTGGGAGTTTGAGGCTGCAGTGAGCTGTGATCTCACCACTGCCCTCCAGCCTGGGTGACAGAGCAATATCCTGTCTCAAAAAAAAAAAAAAAAAAAAAACAAAAAAACAACAACAAAACGGAAAGAAAGAAAGAAAGAAACAAGAAAAATGACCCAAAGAAGATTAGGAATCATTCAAAAGAAGCACCTATATCGATTTAGGAGCATTAAGTATAATTAAGCTTCAAGGCAGGAAGATTGACAAAATCCAAGGGTCTTTCCAGTTCAGTAGAGATCAACTTTGAGGACAGGTCTAAGATACTGGACAAACGGTATTGTGACAAAAGTAACCACACAGAAATCTGCAGATATGTGACCTAGGGGAGGCAAGTTTGACAACACCTAGTTTAACTTCCTTTGTTATATTGATGAGGATCCAAAGAGAAGAAGCAGTTTGTTAAACAATTAGCAGTGGTGTGTCCTTGTCCATCTTTTCCCCTCCCGTTTTCTCTAGAAGCCTCTACCTGTTTTAAATTATCAGCCAAAAACACAATGTAC